CTCAGGGATGGAGGAGCGTATTTTGAATTGGGGGGGTGGGGGTGTTTACAAGCGAGCGCCATAGGTGCTTACTTGTAGAGGGTCTGAAAATATTTGTAAAATTATTATTTCAAGTATTTTTTGCTTGAAATTGGGGTGGATAAAGCCCACTCCCAGCTCCCGCGGCTCCGACGTCCCTGCTGCTGTTGAAAGAAGTCGATAATTATACCCAATTTATGACCAAAACGGCTGAAAAACCAGACCCTTTGGGACCGCCCAGACCTATATAGCCCATATAAGGGAGTCCCCCCCCCCCCCCCCCCCCCCCGTCCCCTCCCTATTTTCCTTCGGGTGGGAAATTAAAAATCTGTCCTTCTTACATTTCTGTTTACATGCAAAAATGTTCAGAATGCATTAGGCAGTAATTAGGCAGTATCTCACTCCACCTTGCTTTCAATTTTTTTTAAGTTTCCGGAAGGGTACAGAGGTCTCCGCACCCCTTTTGTTTTCGCTATAGCAACTGCGGCTCCCTGTTTCTGAACTAGCTGGATCCGCTCCCGTTTCAAACACTACTGATATTCAGACAACCAAACTGACTTGAAGTGGCGGAAGGCGGTTGTATTAATAACAAACTCCGAGGATACTCTTTTGGTCTGTCACGCGCTCCTTTCAAAGGTTTGTTAGGGAGTGGGGCGTGCGTGACGCGTGACGATCTTGACGCGTTTTAGATTCCTGGCAAACTATACCTGAGATGTTATATTCCCCTGACTACATTTTCTTTTTCTCTTTGCAGCAAATTCCATGCTTGGCTAGCAGGGCAAGCTAAATTTCTCGAAGACGAAACTTCCTTAACCCCTTGTGAGGAAATGAAAGAGTCCACCATCTACGACATTCAACAGCAAGTGAACAAGACCAAGAAGCGAGTCAAGACTCTGGTAAGGACGATGGAACTTCAGAACCGCTTGTTAGTCATGATGGCGAGAAAAATGAATCTCGGCGTAGAGGCAGATGAATTGGACACCGGAGAGTGGGTTCCTGAGGCTCAACCTGGGCCAGCTTATGGATTA